TTTCCCATAGTCTTGGATCTCCTCTCCATGAACTATTCAAGATTGATCTTGTGTACAGCTTCTAGTATCTTCCACTCAATGGAGACATGCAAACATTATTAAAACATGTGTTTTAGAAGAAATTGTGTTCCTTCTGGCTGACAAGGGAAGGATGTAGAGATCCCCAGAAAGTCATTCATGTTCTGCACTATTGCTGTGGCTGGGCCGTGACTGTGTAGGGTTTCTATCATCATGTTTGCAAGCACTCCTGGGCCATTGAAAACATGATCTCAGCAGTATGTGTAACTAAACATCTTTTCAGAACTTTAATTAATTCCTCCATAGGGGGTAACACCTAACCCTTTTTCGTGTAGAAGCTAATAGACTTATGATAGTAGGATGAACATCAGTTTGGATGGCATGAAGACAGGGAAGATAAGTAGTTTAAAGGTAAAGGTAAAGGTTCCCCTCGCACATATGGGCTAGTCGTTCCTGGCTCTAGGAGGCGGTGCTCATCTCCATTTCAAAGCCAAAGAGCCAGCGCTGTCCGAAGACATCTCCGTGGTCATGTGGCCAACATGACTAGACACCAAAGGCGCACAGAACGCTGTTATCTTCCCACCAAAGATGGTCCCTATTTTTCTACTTGCATTTTTACGTGCTTTCAAACTGCTAGGTTGGCAGAAGCTAGGACAAGTAACGGGAGCTCACCCCGTTATGCGGCACTAGGGATTCGAACCACTGAACTGCCGACCTTTCGATTGACAAGCTCAGCGTCTTAGCCTCTGAGCCACTGCTTCCCTCCTATAAGTAGTTTATATATATATATTTATTAAATTTTTATACCGCCCTTCTGCTGGACTCAGGGCGGTGAACAGCCAAAAATAAAAACATCACATACAAAATTTAAAATTTTTAAAAGAATTAAACAAATTTTGGCCCAAATAAATTTAAAACACCCCAACTAAAATCAATTTACAGTTAAAAATATCTAAAAATATCTAAGGGGGGATTACGCCAGCCCAGCTTGATGAAATAAAAAAGTTTTAAGGGCACGGCGAAAAGCACAGAGATCTGGTATCCTACGTATCTCCGGGGCAGGTCGTTCCAGAGGGCAGGTGCTGCCACAGAGAAGGCCCTCCCCCTGGGGGTCGCCAGCCGACATTGTCTGGCCAACGGCACCCTGAGGAGTCCCTCTCTGTGGGAGCGTACTGGCCGGTGGGAGGCTATCGGTTTGGATGAAATACTTTCAAGAAATTCCAATGTTGCAGGCTAAACCAGGAAGGTCAAAATATATCCCACAAGAAGGGGATTGTAGGCAATTTCTGTACTGCAGCCAAGAACAAAATATTTTCATTACGAGTTGAGCTTGTTTTCATATCTTGTAAATCTCAATATATTCTACTTTTTCTATATCTATTCTGGACAGTTTGTTCATTCTGAGATGCTGTTCTATGAACATAAAGAAGAATTTTATCATCAGTGTTCTTGCATCTATTTCGTTACAAGGTGACCAAGAGGCCACAGCAAATGTCGCTTTCCTTTGGACTGGGAATTATGGGAAGCAACAGAAGCTTTAGGATGATAGCAAAATGTGCAACAGAATACAATACTATTTGAATTAGTTCAGCCTCAACCAATTACAGCAAGAAAGGATGTCCAAAAAACAAGGGAAAAAAAAAACTTCTATGAAATTGCAAAACATTTTTTTTTTTTTTTTGCCCAGAATTAGCTTCATTTTTAGATTCTCTGGAGCTGGCTCTTTTTTACTGTACATTGGAATTGTCCAAATAACCATTGTAATGGTTTTCCCCCCGTCTCTTGAACAACCATTTGGCTTAGTTCCAATTTCTCTCTGGCTAATTTGATGTGTGAGAGATGCTATTTCTATTGTTCTTTTCCTTGAGTCATCACCTATTTAATTTTTGGGCAGAGTGGATTTGTCTTATCTTGCTCCTTCTTCATGACATTCTTTCCTCCCTTCAAGCAATATTGTTAAATTTTCATCTTTGCAGCCTCAAGCAAACATCTGCTTGACTTGATGTTGGAAACCGTTATCAGATTAGTTCCCAGGGCTCCATTGTGCTGGAAGAATTTACCCTTTAATGTCATAAAAAGATATATGGGGTTGGTGGACTGGGAAGTGGGATAACTAACCATTGATCTAAGTTATCCCCAACCCCAAAACAAGGAGAATAAGTTGTACTCCCAGAAGAGAAGGCTTTGGCAAATACTTATCTGATTTCATAAGGCAGGGGCCTGCAACCTTAAACACTCAAAGAGCCATTTGGACCCATTTCCTACAGAAAAGAAAACACCGGGAGCCACAAAATCCTTCCCGTGCCTGACTATTTCTTGAGCGGCCACAAAACTAGCATATGTAGTTTTCTTTCCTTGGATTTATCCATGGTTGGCCTACCGGGGGTTGAAAATCTCAATAAATTGTATGCTGGTGGGTGTTGCACATTGATGGTCGTGACGCATATTTTGAGTGACAGGGAGCCACAGCAGAGGGGTGAAAGAGCCACATGTGGCTCCAGAGCTGCAGGTTGCTGACCCCTGTCATAGTGGGACTTGACTTTGGAACATTTCCATTCTTTCTTCTTTTATGATATGGATACTATACTGTATTACAAGTTTCTGTTATTTGTGGTTGGCTCTTTGACACTGATTGACTCAGCTGCTTGGCATTATAAGAGGTGAGAGGTGAAATTTGTTTTAGAATAGAATAGAATAGAATAGAATAGAATAGAATAGAATAGAATAGAATAGAATAGAATAGAATAGAATAGAATTCTTTATTGGCCAAGTGTAATTGGACAGACAAGGAATTTGTCTTGGTGCATATGCTCTCACTGTACATACAGAAAAGATATGTTCATCAAGAATCATAAGGTACAATACTTAATGATAGTCATAGGATACAAATAAGCAATCAGAAAAACAATATCAGTATAAATCATAAGGATACAAGCAACAAGTTACAGTCATACAGTCATAAGTGGGAGGAGATGGGTGATAGGAATGATGAGAAGATTAATAGTAATGCAGACTTGGTGGGTGTGGCTTGGTGGGCATGGCAGGGGAAGGATATTGCAAAATCTCCATTCCCACCCCACTGTGGGGCCAGCCAGAGGTGATATTTGCCAATTCTCCAAACTGCTCAAAATTTCTGCTCCAGAACCTGTCAGAATCTGCTGGATTTCACCCCTATTTTGCACTGAGGTTATCAGAGGAACTTTTTTTTTTATAGTGCCATAGATATTTTGGGGAGGACAAAGATGGGGCAAATAATGAAACACTGTGGTCAACACACTTTTTTACACGTCACATTATGTTGCACAAAAGAAACAAAAACCCAGTGTGCAATCATCCTTAAAATCCTATTTTGCTTGTGAGTTGTATGATGAAGGGTGAATATGTATATTTTGATCCATTTTTGCTTTGCCTGTTTCCAAAGCATTAATTTGTTTCATCCGTTTCCATATTGTTGCCCAGACTATTTTAAAAAAGCCTATGCAAGCATTTGTATTTACTTTCACCTGTATATTATGCACATTTAAATAATAAATATTTCCTAATAGCTGCTTGCATGTGTTGTAGATACCAATTTCTCTACCACATGTATTTTTATGTGCATCCTCCTTCTTAAAAATAATCTAACCCATGAAATTCAGGTGTGGAAAATCATCTGGGACAGAACTGTAAAATCTGAAATGGAATATATTTAGATTTGGGGAAGAAGCATTTCAGAGTTATTTCAGAAGGAAATGAACTGATTTTATTCCAAAAGTATTTTAGCATTTTCTGTTTTCTCTCAAGTAATTTTTTTATTGTTTTTTCCAAAGTATTTATTTTATTTTATTTTTCAAAAATGTGGTAAAATTACACCTTAACAGATACTATTTTGCAAATGAGAATTATAGATACTGTTCAAAAGAAAGCTTTAACTAATTCTTGTCTTTAAGAATTTCATGGATACTTAGCAACAAATGAATATTCTTCAACAAATAGCGGTTCCTTGGGATTGGGTGTTTAATCTCATTTTATTGCTAATCTTATTGAAAAATAATTGCCTCCCTTTTCTTATTGATACCATGGTGAGATATGCTATAAAACTATTTTGATAAAGATAAAACAAGGTATGTGTTATTAATAAGAAGAATAAAGGGATTTGGATACTTTCCATTGGGAGAATCTGTTCATTGGAAATGGCTTGGATCCTAATAGTTTTCCCGCTGGCTAAAAGGGACACTTAAATCCTACTGCTGTCACCAGCTCCTTTAAAACTGTAATTTATAGAACAGAATAGAATAACAGAGTTGGAAGGGACCTTGAAGGTCTTCTAGTACAAACCCCTGCTTAGGCAGGATACCCTACACCACTTCAGACAAATGGTTATCCAACATCTTCTTAAAACTAAAAATAGCAGGAACTGGGCATAGCTAGTTTAATGAAAAGAAGGCCTAGGGGAGACATGATAGCAGTGTTCCAATATCTCAGGTGTTGCCACAATTAAGAGGGAGTCAAGCTATTCTCCAAAGCACCTGAGGGCAATAGAAGAAGCATTGGGTGGAAAATAATCAAGGAGAGAAGCAATTTAGAACTAAGGAGAAATTTCCTGACAGAGATAAAACAATTAATCAGTGGAACAACTTGCCTGTAGAAGTTGTGAATGCTCTATCACTGGAAGTTTTTAAGAAGATGTTGGATAACCATTTGTCTGAAGTGGTGTAGGCTTTGCTGCCTAAGCAGGGGGTTGGACTAGAAGACCTCCAAGGTCCCTTCCAACTCTGTTATTCTATTTCTATTTCTATAACACAGACACTGCCATGATGTGGAGACACAATGTATGAAGGTACTTGATTCATGCCACTTGCATGCTAGTATAGTGATAGATGTGGCCTTCATTTGACCCTTTGAGCCTCGCTCAGCAGCCTTTAGTTGGCCATCTCTGATTAGATTTTCAGGAATGCCCTTTCTCATCTCTCTCTGTCCATTTCTCTTTCCCCCTACGCTAGCTCCAGAGAACCTAGAAAAACCTCACACCTCTCTTCAGACAAGCACCAGTTTGATTATTAAGGATTTCTTTTTAAGTCTACCCTTACTCCTCGCTCGCTTGAGAGAATCACGTTTGGTAAGAACAGTTTACAGTTCTCTAACTTATTATCCATCGTTTTTTTTTCTCTCTCTCTCTGTATGTGTGTTGTCTCTGTCGGTTAATAAAGGGGAGGTGTTGTGAAGAGAGAGGAAATGAGGAAGGGAGGGTTTTTGATTCTGACCCAGGTTAAGTAATAATTGCAAGGAATTGTTTTGATATTATGTTAATGCATGTTAATGCATTATCCCCAATTTAAAGTTAATCACTAAAATTATCCTTGTGGTTCTGGAGGAAGGGAGCCATTCTGTAATGAAATAAGATTTGCTGAGGTGTGGCTAATATGGAAATTGAAGTCCCTAAGTGTTTTGAGTTAACTCTCAGCTTGCTACCGCATTTTCATTACAGTCGTAACTAACTTTAAGTTTCAGAATCAGAATCCCCCTCTGCTGTGATTTAAGGATATACAAAAATAAATCTGGATATTTTTTTTTTCATTTCATATTTCAACATGTTGTGATTCATCCATGCAGGAACTGCTGTGGCATAAAGAGCAGCTGATAGGGATCTGTTGCCGTCAACAGTGCTTGGTGGAAAAGTTAATTAAAAGCAGCGTACATTTGAGAAAGGAAGTTATATAAAACCAGTGGGAAAAGTTGACATGAAAATATTTGGACTAATTAGCTAGCTAACCTAAACCGAAAGGTTGTCTGAAGTTACCTGAAGGTTGAATCGTTGCAACTGGACTAATTTTGTTGTGAGTTTGAGAGATGTTTTGCTGCCCACCCAGGCAGCTTCCTCAAAATTAGTCCAGTTGCAATGAGTCAAACTTCACACAACTTCAGACAATTCCACCTCAATCATTCTATGGTTTAGAATCTTCATCGACATATAGCTAAGCTTAACTGATCTCAAAGGGATCAGTTAAGGATCAGTCCATCAGGAACATCAGGATGGTAGAATTCAGAGATGGTATTCAGCAGGTTCTGACCAGTTCTGAAGAACCGGTAGCGGAAATTTTGAGTAGTTCAGAGAACCAGTAAATACCACCTCTGACTGGCCATGCCCCCATCTATTCTCTGCATCCCAAGTCCCAGCTGATCGGGAGGGAATTTGCAGTATCCTTCCCCTGGAGTGGGGAGGGAATGGAGAGTTTACAGTATCCTTCCCCTGCCACACCCACCAAGCCACACCCACCATGCCACGCCCACAGAACCGGTAGCAAAAATATTTGAATCCCATCACTGATAGAATTGATTTGGAAAATGAGAATTGGGGGGTGGGAGAGCATGCTGGAAGAAAGCAATGGTTAATCCTGTCCAAACTGATGCGCAAAAACAGCGACAGATAGATAGATGATAGATGATAGGTAGGTAGGTAGGTAGATAGATAGATAGATAGATAGATATATATATATATATATATATATATATATATAGAGAGAGAGAGAGAGAGAGAGAGAGAGAGAGAGAGAGAGAGAGAGAAATATGATAGATGATAGATAGGTAAATAGACAGACAGACAGACAGAGAGTTAGTTCAACGGTTCGAATCCCTAGTGCCACATAACGGGGTGAGCTCCTGTTACTTGTCCCAGCTTCTGCCAACCTAGCAGTTCGAAAGCAGGTAAAAAATGCAAATAGAAAAATAGGGACCACCTTTGGTGGGAAGGTAACAGCGTTCCATGCGCTTTTGGTGTTGAGTCATGCTGGCTACATGACCACGGAGACGTCTTTGGACAGCACTGGCTCTTCCGGCTTTGAAACAGAGATGAGCACCATCCTCCAGAGTCAGGAACGACTAGCACATATGTGTGAGGGGAACTTCTACCTTCATCTTTAAAAGTGTGGAACGTCCTGAGGTCTAGCTTTCCGGGACCATTAATTTAACTAAACTGGCCAGTTGTATTTTAAGGCAATTTGTTTCAGGACATCCTTAACTCAAAACACAGTTATCTTTTTTCTTGGTTACACAGCGAAGTGCTGCAGTTGCTTGTTCTTGACTATTTCATATGCAAAAGAGTCTGCTGGCATTTGCTTAGAGCTTACTGACTAGGTGTGTGCAAACAAATGTGCCCCCTCACTTTGCTCATTCACACAGTAACTGCAATCAGCTCTGTGCATGAAATACTGTTGTTTTCCAATATAAAGTTAAGGCCGAAGTGGACATAAACCATGGCTTTTCCACTGTACAGCTTTTAGATGGCAATAGCAATCACACTTAGATTTATATACCGCTTCACAGTGCTTTACAGCCCTCTCTAAACGGTTTACAGCGTCAGCATATTTTCTCCAACAATCTGGGTCCTCATTTTACCCTCATTTTACCTCAGAAGGATGGAAGGCTGACTCAACCTTGAGCCGATTAGGATCAAACTGCTGGCAGTGGGCAGAGTTAACCTGCAATACTGCATTCTAACCACTGCGCCACCACAACTCAGTAAATATTTCATATTCCACCATCACCACCCTATTTCATCCAAATTCCACCCAAAACTACCCTCCTATTCTTCATGTTCAATGACAATAAAGTTATTATTATGTTCTGGTTTTATTAACAATGTAACACCACCATATAAAGTTAGGGCAGACAAATCTTTCGAGGCCAGGGGACAAGCAACGTTTTCATTTTTGTTCTCTTAAATAACAAAAATCTAGATTGCATTCCCCATTTATTTATTATAACTTTTGTATCTAAATATCTCACAGGTAAGTGCTTGACTTACAATCACAATTGACCCCAAAATTTCTATTAATGTGAAAACGTTTGTTAAGTGAGTTTTGCCTCATTTTATGAACTTCCTTGCCACAGTTATTAAATGAATCACTGCAGATGGTATTGGTATGCAGAGGCAATGAACATCTCAGGTTCCTTTGAAACACGAGGTTTGTTTGTTCGTGTTTTCTATGTTGTGTTGGAAGAGTGAGTTTCATCTACCAAGAGGATCCATCCTTTCCTCTGAAGCACTGAAACCCCCTTCCCTCCACAATTTTTTTTTAATTTACTTCTGTGGCATTGCTAGGCAGCGTAGCTATGTAAACAGGGTTGCTGTAGGTTGTGAATGGCCAGAGAGAAAAGAGTGTATCAAAAATTAAATTGGTTTTAATTCAACACCAATTCACATTGCAATGATTAATGCTACTTAATGTTGTGCTTCATGAATATCATAATCATCATCTTCAGTCACAGTAAAAATAGTAATTTGATGATTTTATCTTGGATAGCAATAGCACTTAGACTTATATACCACTTTACAGTGCTTTACAGCCCTCTCTAGGGGATGTGGTGGCTCAGTGGCCAAGACGCTGAGCTTGTCAATCAGAAAGATCGGTAGTTCAGCAGTTCGAATCCCTAGCGCTGCATAACAGGGTGAGCTCCCGTTCCTTGTCCCAGCTTCTGCCAACCTAGCAGTTCGAAAGCATGTTGAAAATGCAAGTAGAAAAATAGGGACCACCTTTGGTGGGAAGATAACAGCGTTCCATGAGCCATTGAGTCATGCCGGCCACATGACCACGGAGATGTCTTCGGACAGCGCTGGCTCTTCGGCTTTGAAACGGAGATGAGCACCGCCCCCTAGAGTCAGGAACAACTAGCACACATGTGCAGGGGAACATTTACCTTTACCTTACAATGCTCTCTATGTGGTTTACAGAGACAGCCTCTTGCCCCCAACAATTTGGGTCCTCATTTTACCTCAGGATGGAAGGCTGAGTCAACCTTGAGTCTGGTGAGATTCGAACTGCCAAATTGCAAGCAGCCGGCAATCAGCAGAAGTAGCCTGCAGTACTGCATTCTAACCACTGCGCCACCGATATTTATAGAAGCGGGCATGTCCAAAGATCTGAAGGCTGCTTATGACCCCAGAACCTTTGGTAAGCAGCACCTAGGACACTCTTTTTAGACTTAAAAGCGAAGAAGAGTCCGCCCTGTTTAATATTGAGCATTGAGTTATATGTGCAAGGCCATTTTCCCCAAACAATTGCAATTCTCTTCTCTTGGATATCAGAAGATCTGGGCATACGACCAGAACTATCTTCCAATTTCTTTTGTCCCTGTTGTCATACCATTCAGAGCATTTGAAATCACACCCACAGAGAAATGTCAAAACGCTTTCCGCCCTTCCTTTTTTTTAACAAAAAAAAATAATATTTTTTTTTAATTTTTTTATTATGCACTGAAGCTCTATGGGTAGCAAGGGAAATCAGCAATCACGGTTCACAGACTTAAGAAAAATTGCTCCAGATTCCACATATATTGTGCATGGTAATAACAACAGCTGTGTACTAAAACAAAACAGAGTAATTATTTCTCTCTGATTTTTTTTTTCCCCCTTGGAGTGAGAATGAGAGAAAGAGAGAGACTGACCTTTGGTACGCTAGCTTGAGATCAGTTTTGGCTAAAATTCTATGGAGAGGGAATATTTTGAACAGTTGGGGGTGCAAGGCTGAGTTGGTCATGTATTGTTTGATTTTTAAAGTCTTCAGGTGAACACATAATGGATATTTTTCTTGGTGATGGGCTAATTATGCTCATAATTAGAATAGAATAGAATAGAATAGAATAGAATAGAATAGAATAGAATAGTGATTGGACACACAAGGAGTTTGTCTTTGGTGCATATGCTCTCAGTGTACATAAAAAGACAAGATACATTCATCAAGAATCATAAAGTACAACATTTAATGATAGTCATAGGGTACAAATAAGCAATCAAATCATACTAGGAAACAATCAATATAAATCGTAAGGATACAAGCAACAAAGTTACAGTCATGCACTCATAAGTGGGAGGAGATGGGTGATGGTAACAATGAGAAGACTGATAGTAATAGTAATGCAGACTTAGTGAATTGTTTGACAGTGTTGAGGGAATTATTTCTTTAGCAGAGTGATGGCGTTCGAGAAAAAACTGTCCTTGTGTCTAGTTGTTCTGGTTTGCAGGGGTCTCTAGCATCGTTTTGAGGGTAGGAGTTGAAACAATTTATGTCCAGGATGCGAGGATGCAATTTTATGCATCTTATGCTCATCTAAAGAGCACTCACAGGACCATAGGTGTACAAGAGATTCAGAAAGCTTCCCTCTCTGTCCTTCACCCAGGGGTCAGAATGCCCTTTTTAAAAAAAAAATAATAATAATAATTCTTGAGCATTCTTGGATAATTAAGAGAAGATGGTAATGTGTCTTTGGTAATGTGTCCTTCATTCATCTGTAAATATTTGCACACCTAATCCATTGATCAATAGTATGCAGACCAGAGTTAAGCACACATAGTCTATTCTCTGATAGGTAGAAAAATTGGCTGGGACATTTTTCCAGGAAAAGAAATTATTGAGAATAGTAATACACATTATTATGTAAAAGTTAAAAATTGAGGTTGTAATGTTATTATCTTCTTTGTTGTTGTTATCTCCAGAGATGGAAAACCTCCATTGTCAGACTATTTCACTTCAAACAGATCTTATCACAAGAAACTTTTTCTTGATATTTAGAATAGAATTTGTTGTTGTTAATTGTGAAGTCGTGTCCAACCCATCGCAACCCCATGGACAACGTTCCTTCAGGCCTTCGTGTCCTCTACCATCCTCTGGAGTGCATTTAAGCTCACACCGACTGCTTCAGTGACTCCATCCAGCCACCTCGTTCTCTGTTGTCCCCTTCTTCTTTTGCCCTCAATCTTTCCCAGCATTAGTCTCTTTTCCAGGGAGTCCTTCCTTCTCATTAGATGGCCAAAGTATTTGAGTTTCATCTTGCTGTCTAGATTTGCCATAGCTTTCCTCCCCAGGAGCAATTATCTTCTACTGTGCTAAAAACAATTGGAAGGCAACCTTTTTTTTTCTTTTTCCCAATCTACCCCATACTTTCTCCTTTCCCCTTTTCTCCTCCCCTGCTTTCCCATTAATTTTATTTTCCTTTGCATTTTATACTCTTATAAACTAATAAAAGTTTGATGGATACATTTCTCCTGGACAAGACCTCTTAGCAGTGTGTGAAGGAGCATCACCAAGAAAACCAACAGTAGAATGTCCTTTGTTGGACAATGGTCTTTTGAGATTGGACAGAAGTAGAGGAAGTCGAAAAGTATACCCACTCAAACATACACACACACACAAATACACACGACACACACACTGCCATGCCTCACCCTGGAGAATCTCCAAGAATCTCTAAAAATCCCTTCTCTTCTGAAAAACTTTCAAAAATCAATTCTCTTTCATCGCAATGAATGAGAACTGGCAGAAAAAAATATGTACTACTTCAGGCAGTTAAAAAAATTTTTTTTTAGTGACATTGAGCTCTTGAGAGTGTTGTCAGGGTTAATCCCTTGCTAAAACTGTTGGGAAATGGACTCTCACAATTCTGTTCCTCCGCTTGAAGGCAGGAAAGTTTATTTAATCACTATAATTAATTCATAATTAATTTAATTTTTGCTTGCATTTTTGCCTTGGTCCTTAGCCAGGAAGAGTCTCAGAGCAAATTCCAGAACATGTTAAAGGCAATACCGCTCCCATTTTTAGGCTTAGAAGGTGTAGCACACAAGGAAAAGAGATGAGTGGGCATAGGACAAGAATAAGATGAAAAATGATCAGGAGACACTTTTTCCTAATTTTTCATGGACCGTAGCAGTAGCATACAGCAGCTGTTTTTGGTCTTGTTTCATTTTGCTCTCTTGGCAACCTTGATTAGTGTTTTGCCTCTTTCATACAACTACCACCAAGAGCTGTGATGGCGCAGTGGTTAGAATGCAGTATTGCAGGCTAACTCTGCTCACTGCCAAAAGTTCAATTCCTTAGATTCTGACCAGCTCAAGACAGACTCAGCCTTCCATCCATGAGTAAAATGAGAACCCAGATTGTTGGGGGTAATATGCTGACTCTGAAAACTGCATAGGAAAGGCTGCAAAGCACTGAAGTGGTATATGAGCCTAAGGGCCATTGCTATTGCTATTACTATTGTGTAGTATCTGGGTTGGATCTGGGTGTGCATGGCGGTCATTAGAACAAAGAAGAAGAAGAGAGAGGAGAAGGGAGAGGAGGAGGGGAAAAGGGAGGAGAGGGAAGTAGAGAGGGGAGAAGAGAAAGAGAGAGGGAAGGAGAGGGGAGGGGAGGAGAGGAGAAGGAAAGAGGGAAGGAGAGAGAAGTGGAGGGGAGAAGGGAAGGGAGGGAAGGAAAAGAAAGATGAAAAGAGATGGACTATCGTAAAATTGGGTGAAATATGGTGTATATGGGAAAGGAAAACAGATGGGTAATTTTTTTTTTTTTACTTGATGGTTATATAATCGATACCATAATGGAAGACAATATATGTTATAACATGATGGATATGATCGCATATCTGTTTATATGTTATTGCATATTGGTTAATGTATATATGACTATAATGACGACAACAATGATGTTTGTACATTCACATGTTTAACATTTTGGACACGTAGAGGGCTCACTGCTCAACATAGAAAGGAAATGTATGATATAAAATAAAATTAATGGAGAACAAAGAAGCTGTTTCCATAAAAAATGGCAACTAATTGATTCTTCTTCTTCTTCCATGTCTAGATCAAAATTTAGACTGCCAGAATGAAGCCGCCTTCTATAAAGTCATTGGCCAACAATAAGTCATTATTGGAACAAGTTTCTGGTAAGAGTTGTTATACCAACAGATAGAATGGGCTCTGCATCTCCTCACATTCACACAGCCTGTTGTTATCGCCACTTGAGCATATTGGTTTTTACACTTAAGCACTCCAACCCTCAACCTATTCAGTATCCTCCAAAAAGGACTTAAAACGAGTTGATCCAAATAGAATAGAATAGAATAGAATAGAATAGAATAGAATAGAATAGAATAGAATAGAATAGAATAGAATAGAATAGAATATAATTTTTTATTGGCCAAGTGTGATTGGACACACAAGGAATTTGTCTTGGTGCATACGCTCTCGGTGTACATAAAAGAAAAGATACGTTGAATTGAATGGTTTTCCAGTAATCTGTGAATTGATTAATTTTAACAACAGTATCAACAGAAGCACTAGTAAAACTAGTAGCCAAATAATATTACTGGATGTTATCTGATATTTGCAACACGGATCATATCCCTCTCATTCTTCTTCTGTTGCTGCCCTTTGTCGGCTTTGCCCGGCTGGTGTAAATGGCTGAGATTCAACTCACACAAGGTGCTCTAATTAGACAATTTCTTTGTACTATAATGTAAGAGTCAAGATGACCTCAAAGGGCATTTCTCTATGGCTGGAACATATTGGATCTGTTCTTCAGCAACTGTGGAGGAGCATTTGTTATTTAATGGACCTTTATAAATTACCACCGCCATCCAAGAATCTTCCCATTATTCTGGGAACTTTTCTTTTATCTTTTTATTTTTATGGGGAGTGGGTGGATGAATATGTGTTTCTTTCAAGTTGCCACGAAAGGTTACTTTCGGAACATTCTTCACCCAATGATGACAGCAGATTGGGGACATAACTGTCATCACTTGTATCTCAGGGTTAGAATCAATCTCTTTGCTTATTTTTCTTCTCTCTGGGAACAGCAAATCTTGTCTTCCCATTATGCTCAGAACAATTGTGTCAGTGGTGGGATTCAATTTTTTTTTTACTACCGGTTCTGTGGGTGTGGCTTGGTGGGCGTGGCATGGCATGGCATGGCTTGGTGGGCTTGGCTTGGTGGGAGGAGAAGGGTACCGTAAAATCTCCATTCCCACCCCACTCCAGGGGAAGGTTACTGCAAAATCCCCATTTCCTCCCGATCAGCTGGGACTCGGGAGGCAGAGAATAGATGGGGTGGGGGCCAGTCAGAGGTGATATTTACCGATTCTCCGAATTATTCAAAATTTCCGCTACCGGTTCTCCAGAACTGGTCAGAAGCTGCTGAAACCCACCTCTAAATTGTCTCCCTGGAGACACAGAAATGCAAGTAGAACCTATGATTTCCCTGGACTGTTAGTAGCTCAGGTTTTTGTAGAGAGCTTAAGTTTGCAATAAATCTTTATACTTATTTGACCTGTCTGAATCTCCTGATTTTGTGCTTGACAAAGATGACTTAATTTGTCTATAAACATGCAGAAATTGTTCAGTTAATATATTAGTCTCAGCCTTATGAGGTAGTCCAGACAGGGAGCACACCCAGATGATCTAATTCTCATTCTATTGTAATGTTAAATTAATAGAATCATGTAAGTTTGAAAGTACACTTCCCCCCGTTGCTTTTCACAGCCCAAGAAACTAAGGAGGGTCCCTTTTGAAACTTTTTTTTAATTTTTTTTTTTAATTTGATTTATATTCTGCCCTTCTCTGGAGACTCAGGGCGGCTTACAGTACGTTAAGCAATAAACTTTGTGCGTTAAACTTTGACACACCCACATTCCTGCTGTGGGTTTAGTTGCCTCTTATTTGACCATTCCCATGGGTGCAACTCTCCCCATGCTACTCTGGCCTAATTCAGACATAATAACTGATCACAGTCAGAATTCATGAATTTAAGAACAGTTTCAAAATAATGAGAAAATGTCAGGAATGAGAAAATGTCAGTGATGGTGTGATTTTTGCTTCAGACTTCAATAGTCTTACAATAGTCACGAGATATCTCCCCATCACTATTTATTCATTTTCCCCCCTATTTCTTTGGAAATAGGAAAGAACATGATTTAAACAGCTGGGATCATCCATAAAACTGCTTGGTCAACAAACAAGGAGAATATCCCACAGCAAAGAAGATAGAAAGGAGAGAGGAGGAGAGGGTAGGAAGAGGAGAGGGAGGGAGGGAGAGGAATGGAAGAAAGGGAAAAGGAGAGGAAGGAAGGGTAGGGGACAGGAGTACGAGAGAAGGTGAGAAGGGGGAAAAGAAGAGAGGAGTGGGGGAAAGGAAGGGGAAGTAGGATGAGGCAGGAAAGGAGGAAGGAGAAAGTAGGAGAGGAGAGGAGGGAGGGAAGGAAGGGAAAGAGAAGAAGAAGAAGAAGAAGAAGAAGAAGGGTTGTTGCGAAATGAGGGAAGAAAGGATAGAAGAGTAACTCCGAATGTAAATTAAAATGCCTTATTTTAATGCTTTCTTTAAGGAAAACATGTATAGGTACGATTAATTATGTATAAGAAAATGTACATTTTATGTTATGTGTATAAGAAATAAAACTGAAAAATTGTTTGGTCAACAATGGTTAACCACAGATGGGGAGTTGAACGGAAGGAGGTGACAAGTTTGCGGAATGTGTGAACTACTCAGAGTTGCTTAACACGGGTGGCCATTGTATAAATATTTTAAATATTTAAATTTGTGTGAAAGAATCCAGGGTAAATGCCTGAAGCCATATTTTTCATGAGAGGGAAAAGCAAATTTCCCTGGAAAACAAAAGTTTTCCGAAAAAGCAACTAAATACACACGCTGTACAAATCTTGGCTCTTCAGCAAAGTTTCGGAATGTTGCAATTCTGAAACAGATGAAATTCCATTCTGATTATTAAAGGAAAGTAGTACCAAATAGAATGTCTATTAGCTCGGTGGGATAGATTAGAATGTATTAAATCTCAGCAGTTAATAACCCGACTCTCTTCATCTTGCTATTTTCATTTCAAAGACTTATAATGATTACAAATGACACCCTAGATATATCAGCAACTGCTTTCTTGATGAACAATATGTTAGTAAGGCTAGTCCATGCCTTCACACCTCACTTAATAGAGGCTTAATAAAATTATGAATCATGTGGAATGGGCGGGGAGGAGAGAGACTTTTCTCATCCCCGTCATTAACAATAAAACTAGGCAGCCTGAAAAGTTTAATAAAGAGCAGGCACATAAAGAAAAACAAACAAATCATACCTGCAATTGTTTTTTTTTTTCTATTAACCTGCCGGATATATTTGGGAGAATGGGTGTGCTTCAGTTCCCCTAAATTACACATTGTCATCTTGTAGGACTAAGGGAACAGGCCTTCTCTGTCACTACCCCCATTTTCTGGAACAGCTACCTCTCAGAAATATTGAATGTGTCAAGCACAGGATATCGGGAATCCGAGTAGTTCAAATGAATGTAGGTTTATTGCATCCTAGTGTTCTCTACAAGAAGCTGAACTACGAAGGTTTAAAGCAAATTGGTTTAAAGGTTTAAAGCAAAAAGGGACGTGGTGGCTCAGTGGCAAAGATGCTGAGCTTGTCGATAGAAAGGTCAGCAGTTCAGAAGTTCGAATCCCTAGTGCTGCGTAAGTAACGGGTGAGCTCCCGTTACTTGTCCCAGCTTCTGCCAACCTAGCAGTTCTATTGGAGCCCGCAGCCATAATAAATTTAATAGGAAAAATAAATAAATAAAATAATAGCTCGCATAAATATAAATCAGTCGATTAGCAGCAAACATATTTATTATCGACAGAAGATGGAAAACCAGTAGTCTTCCAGAAGTTTCTGAATTACAAATCTTAAGATTCCCAATGCCAGTAACCATATGGGCTGATTTTAGCATTCAGTTACATCTGGAGAGCCATAGATTATCCCCCACACCATGATAACAAGAGACCGAAAGTTAGTCTCATAATATTCATGATCTGCACTGATTGATTCATTGATTGTTGTTGTTGTTAGTTGCGAAGTTGTGTCCAACCCATCGCGACCCCATGGATAACGTTCCTCCAGGCCTTCCTGTCCTCTACCATCCTCTGGAGTCCATTTAAGCTCACGCCGACTGCTTCAGTGACTCCATCCAGCCACCTCGTTCTCTGTCATCCCCTTCCTCTTTTGCCCTCAATCATTCCCAGCATTAGGCTCTTCTCCAGGGAGTCCTTCCTTCTCATTAGGTGGCCAAAGCATTTGAGTTTCCTCTTCAGGATCTGGCCTTCTAAAGAGCACTCAGGGTTGTTCTCCTCTAGGACTGACCAGTTTGATCGCCTTGCAGTCCAAGGGACTCGCAGGAGTCTTCTCCAGCACCAGAGTTCAAAGGCCTCAATGCTTTGGCGCTCAGACTTTCTTATGGTCCAACTTTCATAGCCATACATTGCAACTGGGAAAACCACAGCCATCCATTCATTTTTAGCTCGTAGCAACCACACAGATTTTCTCCATGGTGATCTATCCTTAACCTGGTCTTTCATGTCATCTAATAGTGCACTCATCACCACTTTAATTGAGTTCATCCACCTCTTAAGGCCTTTCAATTGTTGAATGTAGCCATAGTGGCTTCGACTGTGCACTTCAGGGCTGAGTCAGAGTTGTGGTATGCTGTTTTCCTTGGGAAAAATATATTTCTGAGAGCTTATTCAACGTTCGAAATACATTGAAGACCTTTTCCTAAATCATTATGTCAAAAGTCTTTTGTCCCAGAATGCACTATACAGACAGATCAAAGAACTGTCTAAAACCCCAACTCAGATGTAGTAATATCACAGTGCTTGTTCATTGGTAACTAGCAAAACTTGTATTTCTTGACTTAATTGACTCCCATGTGCTTCCATATCCACTTTCAATCAGAAGCTGAAGAAAAATGTTCCTTTGCAGCAGAGGTGGGTTTCAGCAGGTTCTGACCAGTTCTGGAGAACCGATAATGGAAATTTTGAGTAGTTTGGAGAACCGGTAGTAAAAATTCTGACTGGCCCCGCCCCCGCCCCCATCTATTCTCTGCTTCCCAAGTCCCAGCTGATCGGGAGGAAATGGGGATTTTGCAGTATCCTTCCCCTGGAGTGGGGTGGGAATGGAGATTTTACAGTATCCTTCCCCTGCCACACCCACCAAGCCACTCCCACCAAGCCATGCCACACCCACAGAACCGGTAGTAAAAAATTTTGAAACCCACCACTGCTTTGCAGTTTTAGCTACGTGTGGGGACCGTGTGCCTTCAAGGCAATCTTGACTTCTGGTGGCTGGATTGGAGAAGACTCCTGAAAATACCATGGACAGGCAAGAAAATTAACAAAGGATCAGTGAACAAATCAACCCAGAATTCTCACTCAAGGCACAAATGACCAGGTTTAAATTATCCTACTTTGAGCACGTTATGCATCATTCTCTCTTTTAAAGAAACAAGATTCTTACATTTCTGCTTTGTAAACATCGGTTTACAAATGTATGGAACTTGGCATCCATTCTCTGTGGCTTGCCCAGTCATTGGCGTACTTGAGTTTAGTGTGATAAAACATATAAAACGATAATATAAATGCAAAAAAACTTATAGATGTAAGTCGCATGGATATCCACTTAAAGAAATTTATATGTTTGATTAACTCACATTAAAATTAATGGGACTTTAAAATATTTAGCTTTCTCTCTTTCCCACTGTCCTCAAAGAAGGGTCTTGAGAAAGGGAGGGCCACTTTGGAAGAAGTACAATTTAAAGTTAATATTCATTAACAAAGCTGCTAGTTCTGGGTAATTGATTCTCAGCTCCAGATGTTCCCATTTTAACTAAATGCTATAGAGAAATGTTTAATTTATTGGCATCTTGATCATTTAAAAAAATGTTTTGTCCTACGATCATAAAATCCAAAACAGACAAGCGGAAAGGATTTTCTCTTATTTCCATGCTAACTTTATTTTACTGCTCTTTTCAAAATAAATTTTAAAGAAGTCTACATTCAGCGAAGTGGCATTCATGGGGAACTTTAATTCTCTAATGTCGCTTTTTCGCTACCTGTAGGTGATATTTAAATAACATTACAGTCATTGGCTAAAATACCTGCTACTACTTCTTGGGCTCATTTAAAGGTATACTTCAAATCAGGGGTGCTATTCAGCAGGTTCTGACAGGTTCTGGAGAACCGGTAGCGGAAATTTTGAGTAGTTCAGAGAACCGGCAAATACCACCTCTGGCTGGCCCCTGGAGTGGGGTGGGAATGGAGATTTTGCAGTATCCTTCCCCTGGAGTGGGGTGGGAATGGAGATTTTGCAATATCCTTCCCCTGAAGTGGGGTGGGAATGGAGATTTTGCAATATCCTTCCCCTGGAGTGGGATGGGAATGGAGATTTTGCAATATCCTTCCCCCAGGAGTAGGGTGGGAATGGAGATTTTGCAGCATCCTTCCCCCAGGAGTGGAGTGGGGATGGAGATTTTGCAGTGTCCTTCCCCTGAAGTGGGGTGGGAATGGGGATTTTGCAGCATCCTTCCCCTGGAGTGGGGTGGGAATGGAGATTTTGCAGTATCCTTCCCCCAGGAGTGGGGTGGGAATGGAGATTTTGCAGTATCCTTCCTCTGCCACGCCCACCAAGCCACGCCCACAGAACCGGTAGTAAAAAAAAAATGATTTCCACCACTGCTTCAAACAATTTGGCTGCTTAGAGAATATTCTTTGGAAAGACGGATCTATATACAAGAAGGATACAGGATGCAACTTAGAACCAACTTGAATTCAACAAGTTCCTTGTTGAATGTCTGTAACATCATTGTCTCCTCACCATTTTCTAGTCTGTTCTTGTTATTCAACTGTGGTCTGCATTTCTGGTCAATTTTTATCATTTAAAAAAAAATGAAATTAAGCTGTAGTCCAGGACAACCTTAAATAAAAAATAGGATTCTAAGAGAATTGCATTGTAGATCCTTCTGGAAGACAAATTGAGATATGTGTGGTTAGATCAATGGGTAGGTGTGAATGATACCCAAGTCTAAGCTCAGCTATTGTTTATGGGGAGATATTTGTGCTGGGAAGGAAGGAAGATAGCCATCACATTGTAGATAAAAAAGGGTGAGAAAGCCAACTGACTTATTTTATCTGTCTTTAGATGTTAATACGAGCATGTGGGTTTTTAAAAAGTGTAGGATGTCCCCCCCCAAAAACAAACATTTCTTGGAACGGCCAACTGTGCTTGTATGGTCACATAACCATTCCAGGAAGTACTAAGAAAAAAAGTCTATAATCTTTTAAAAGCCCCAATGTAGTGTAAAGCTTGCTGAACCTCTTTTGAAATATTAAAGGTATATAGCAAATCTTCCTTCCTTCCTTTCTTCCTTCCTTCCTCCCCTCTTCTTCCTTCCTTCCTTCCTCCCCTTTCCTTCCTTCCTTCCTTCCTTCTTTCCTCCCCTCTTCTTCCTTCCTTCCTTCCTTCCTTCCCTTTCCTCCCTCCCTCCCTCCCTTCCTTCCTCCCCTTTCCTTCCTTCCTCCCTCCCCTTCCCTTCTTTCCTTCCTTCCTTCCTCTCCTTTCCTCCCTCCCTCCCTCCCCTCTTCTTTCTTCCTTCCTTCCTTCCTCCCCTTTCCTTCCTTCCTTCCTTCCTTCCTTTGTTCCTTTCTCCCCTCTCCTTCCTTCCTTCCTTCCTTCCTTCCTTCCTTCCTTCCTTCCTTCCTTCCTTCCTCCCTCCCTCCCTCCCTCCCTCCCTCCCTCCCTCCCTCCGCTCTCCTTCCTTCCTTCCCCCTTCCCTTCCTCCCTCCCTCCCTTACACACATCCTACAACAGGTTGATCATTCATACTTGGGAAAATCAAAGAGGTCTTCCCTTAATGCTGGAAGACTACGGTGTCTATAGCAGCAAGTCCCTGTAGGAAAGACATTCTTCAACCGGCAGGGGCTACCACTGACAAAGCCCTTTCCTTGTCAGATCTCCATGGCTTTCTTTTGGAGACCCCCATGGAAAAAGATACTTAGATGACGCTTTTAAGATCTGGAGCACGTAAATGTAGGAAAATGAATTTCTTCAGGAAAGAAGAATTCCCGAGTTGTTTTAAAAGGTTAATGTCGCTGCAGAAACCAACTAATGCTTGAAAGACAAACCGTAGCATGTAATCATACTGGTTAATACCAGAAAGTTGTGCAGCTTGTCTTATTTGCAATCACTCTGATATATCTTTGGGGGGGGGGGCTGAGCTGTTATAATCCTGCTTCAGACTCTGTCATAAAACAAGGCTGAAGAAAAAACTCGGCTTTGCAGGGAACAACAATGTTCTGCTCCGATAAGCATTGACTGTAGCGAGGTAGAAGCTCCCTCCAGTGCGCATCCTTCATAGGTTCCAGACAGTCCAAGAAACATCATCCGCCAGCATATGTTCCAAGAATAACTAATTGTTCAATGTAACAGCAGGTTCCTTATTACAGAAATTGATTTCACAGTTTGGTTACGGTGCTGCGCGTGTGCGTATGCCCCCCACCAACATCCATGGAGATGTTTCATCTTTGTTTAACCAAACAGAAGCCTATTTAGCTTGCCTTGTCAAATGCTGGAACATAAGCTTGGAGGAGGTGGGGGGGCTCGCCTGTGGCAAAACATGTTATTGTTCTGCAAATATATACAGGAGGAGCTGCGGTTCCCGCTAGTCCTTGAAGAAATTTGGAGCCTGACGTGCGGATTTCTAATTTCCTGGTTCAGAAGGAAATCATAGGTAGGCATAAGGGAAGGTTTTTTAATTTGAGTTCATTTTTTTTTCAAAGCTTAATTTGAACTTCCTGGAATAATACATCGTAGATGGAAGAAGAATTCATCTTTTGAATGCCTGTCCCCCACCCCACTTAACTTTACGATATAGCTGACAATGTAAAAATTGCATATAAAGAAAAAGTTGCATGCAGAAATAATATAATAGAAGAAACTGTACAAAATAGGTCTTGGGGAATGCAAAAAATATTGGTCCGCGTTTTGTAAAAAAGAAAAAAAATGCAGGTTGATGTGGAGATTGCTTATGTCTCTTTATGTGAATATGAATACAGATCAAAAGGACATGATACCCTAGAAAGAAATTCATTGATCCATTATTTTTGCTTTCTCCAGTCTAGATCTCCATATATTGGGCCAATTGACCAACCCTACATACTTGGGATTTTCACTTGTGCTAATTTTTCCCCCAATTTAATTGCATGTGTTTTGCTTCCTTCAACATCCATGTTTTTCTCACACAGGAAATGTCAATTTTGGACTCCTCTTCAGTCAACTAAGCACGGCCGATCCAGTTAGTATTTAAAAAGGAGATAACCACGGCATCTCACAGTTGTGGTTTACAATGAGAAGTTGAAAAAAATATCCCAGAATGCAGCCTTCAGACAATTTTACCTGGATGGTTGAGAATCTTCATCAACATATTGCAAGACATATTGTGGAAGAAACACCTAAGGTTGGTTTGGAGGGGTTGATAACAGTGGTGAAATCCAATTTTTTTTACTACTGGTTCTGTGGGCTTGGCTTGGTGGGTGTGGTGTGGCTTGGTGGGCATGGCAAGGGAAGGATACTGCAAAATCTCCATTCCCACCCCACTCCAGGGGGAAGGATATTGCAAAATCTCCATTCCCACATCACTCTGGGGCCAGCCAGAGGTGGTATTTGCTGGTTTTCTGAACTGCTCAAAATTTCCACTACCGGTTCTCCAGAACCTGTCAGAACCTACTGGATTTCACCCCTGGTTGATACGTTCCAATGACTCCGTGCCTAACTAACTTGCTCTAACTGATGTAGCTGCTTGGATGAGCAGCAAAATGTCTCAAACCAACAAGACAATAAGTCCAATTGCCATGACCCAACTTTCAGACAATTCCCTTGGTTGACTGAGAATCTTCATCTACATAACCCAGAATGCAGTGTTGATATCATTACTAGGAAAACACCATAGATAAATATGTCCATGTAGCCACTAGGTTTCAAATTGACAGAGGCTGAAAATGGGATGCTGACCAGCAGTTAAATGTACAGCAGGCTCCAGGATCATCATTATTTCCAGTAATGTATCCATAGGTATCATAGACCCCAAAAACAGTTCTTAGAAAATAGGAATACAAGTGCCTGCAATGCTGGATTTTATTTAGAAACATGAAGTTCTGAAACTTCCATAGTTTTGGACAGAAATGACGAAAGCACCATCATGCTCTGCCTCTTTCAGGCATGCATGCTGTAACATGATGTATGTGCAAAAAAAGGGGTTGGACTTGTAATTTGATGCTGCTTTGGTCAGAGTCATCTATTTAACAGAATAACAGAGTTGGACAGGACTTTGAAGGACTTCTAGGACTTCCTGCTCAGGCAGGAAACCATTTCAGACAAACGGACAATCTCTTCTTAAAAACCTCCAGTGTTGGAGCATCCACAACTTCTGGAGGCAAATTGTTCCATTGATTAATTGTTCTAATTAGACCTGCCCTGTGGATGCCACTAATTTGGAAGAATGTCCAAGGAAAAAGACAGTGGGAAGATGGAGTAGATGAGAGCATCCTGTGGGTAGCCTCACTAGTTTGTCTTCTCATACATGGCAACCTTACAGATTAACAGAGTTGGAAGGGACTTTGTAGGTCATCTAATGCAACCCCCCACACAAGCAGGAGACCCTACACCATTTCTGATAGATGGCAGTCCAGTCTCTTCTTGAAAACATCCAGTGATGAAGCTCCCACAACTTCTGAAGGCAACTTCTGTTCCATGAGTTGATTCCTCTCACTGTCAGAAAATTTCTTCTTATTTCCAGGTTGACTCTCTCCTTGTTCAGTTTCCATCCATTATTCCTTGTCTGACCTTCAGATGCTTTGGAAAAAAGCTTGACCCCCTCTTCTCTGTGGCAGCCCCTCAAAGGCCAGGGCAATCTATTCTCCTCACTGTAGGTTGATCTCAAATTACAACCATTAGTTTAGCAATCGTTTGAAGCTACAATGGCCCTGAAAAAGTGACTGGGGAGCAGTCATCACACTTACTACTCCGGTGATCCAAATTTGGGCTCTTGGCCAACAGCATGCATTTACGAGGGTTGCACCATCCATGGATCAACTGCTCCAGATTTGCAACTGACAACCAACGTCAACTGGGGGTCTGCTTAACAACAGCAGCCATTCTCTCAACAAGCACAGCACTAAAGTTCGTAAAATGGGTTGTAACTCACTTAACAACCACCTTGCTTAGCAGAGGAAATTCTGGCTGCAATTGTGGTCGTAAGTCGAGAACCCAGGACCGCCAAAGAGGCAAGCTTTCCTCAAGACAAGCATTGCTTCCATCTTGCCAAAGTACCCACAAGGGTTAACTGTCCCTTGTAACACAAGATTTGATGAATTGGAGCGGAGAGGCCTGGAATAACGGCAAGGATCAGTGTGATTCCATTGCCAAGAAAACAAGCAAAACCAAAATATGGGGTGAAATGTCAACACTTTTGGAATGCGAACAAGGTCTCTGCGATGCCTCATGCAAACCAAGTGGCTTTTCTCTTTCTGTTATGGCTGGTTTGTTTGTATTTATTGAGCAGTATTTTAATGAGAAGACAACAATCTGAGCAAAGATGCTGATAGCTTTTTTCCCTCCCCCCTCCTCCCCCCTCCCCTCCCTTCCCCTGAAAAAGAAGAAGGTCTTGCTTTGTAGAACACAGCTTGGCATTATTTACATCATTGTGGAGGCAGATTAAATTTCATCTCCTTTGCAAGTTGAAGACATTGTGCACTGCCATAGCACATGGGATGCCGAAAGCCACACATCTATCCACAGGGAGCGCTCTCTCTCTCTCTCTCTCTCTCTCTCTCTCTCTCTCTCTCTCTCTCTCCCTCCCTCCCTCCCTCCCTCCCTCCCTCTCTCTCTCTCTCTCTCCCTCCCTCCCTTCCTCCCTCCCTCCCTCTGTGTGTGTGTGTGTGTGTGTGTGTGTGTGTGTGTGTGTGTGTGTGTGTGCGCCTTGATGAAAAAGAGGAATATATAAATGTTCTCTACTTCCAAGCTCCAGATTTTCAATGCGTTTCTCTGCTGTTAGCTGGAAGTTTTGGGGAGGTGAATGATGTGTGTTTTGGCAACAACAGAAGAGGGCTGAGCCAAAAGATTTTGCGGTGACATCTTGTGTTTTTTTCTTCTTCTTGTTTTAATTCAGAAAATGCATCCAGTGGCCTTCTACTCTATGATATCATCATTGGAGGCTATAGAATAGTTGCATTCATTATAGGTAGGAGTGGTGTTTGCCAGCCATGCATCTTGGGGTCTGTAAACTGAAGATTTTGTGGAGTGAGCATGCAACCATCTACTCTAATGCTATACTAGAGCGTCTTTACAAAGTTGGTAGCTGGGCAGTACAGCGGTGTCACTCCAGAAGACCAGAAGACAATACTCTTGATATCAAATCTATTCTTCAGAACATAAAATATAGAATAATAGAGTTGGAAGGGACCTCGGACTTCTTCTAATCCAACCCTCTGCTTGAGCAGGAGACTCTATATCTGTTCTGACCCAGCTCCCCAAACACAAAAATCCTCTGATGTGAACTCAAAAGATTCCTTTATTAGAAATGCCGGCAGTCCCGCCCAAGTTTCTCTTGCAGGCTAACAAGTCCATCTGGCTGGAAGATGAATAGTTGTCTGCCACACCTATTCATCTCTGCCCCCTGCCTTTTATCCCCAGAGCAGTGGTGGGTTTTACTTACCTTTGCTACCGGTTCTCTCATACGCACACGGTCGCTTCGCTCACGCACCACTTCTGCACATGCGCAGAAGTATATTTGACAACTTCCAGGCTAGTTGGCTTAGCCTCCCACTGCTGCTACTACCGGTTCTCCCGAACCGGTGCGAACCGAGAGCAACTCACCACTGCCCCAGAGCTAGGGTGGGGCTTCGCTAGCAATGGTGGTTCTTCCTTCCCAAGGATTGGCTCATGGATTTCCACTGCTCTCCTCTCCTCTGCTTTCTGCACATCCATGCATCAGGCACTGGACCCAGCTCTTCCTCCTCTTCCTCATCAGCCACCTCCAGTCCTGGGGGTTGTTGACTCTCCATCTGAGAGCTGACGGACGGCCCAGGCTCCGCCTCTGTCTCCCTCTCTCTGACAGTTCCATTTCCTCTTCCCCCTTGGAGCTCCCAGGTTGCTCTGATGCTGACCCTGACTCCCACCCCTCCTCCTCTTCTGATTTGGCTGCTAAAGGTGCTGGCGGCCGACACACATGTTTGTGCATGCACACATTCTCGCACGCACACCTTTCAGTTTGGGCATGCGTACGCGCAGTTTGGGCACTCAATGTTTAAAAGGTTCACCATCACTGGTGTACAGGAAGTTTATTTTGAATGCTTGGAAAGACACCATTATTACAGGTAGTTTAATGGCAAAAAAAAAAGCCCGTTTGGGAGGGTGGATTTGGATGTATGATCGTGTGATTCAGGAGTGAAATCCAGCAGGTTCTGACAGGTTCTGTGTTGTGGCCCGTCAGCAGCCTGTGCAGATTGTAGCTGATTCCGACAACGAGGAGGCTGGTGTGGTGCTGCGCCAGCAGCCTGTGCAGCTGGCGCTTGAGTCGGACAGTGCGGAGGCTGGAGAAGATGTGATGCCAGAGGCTGGGATTCAACCAGGGCCTTCAGAACCTCCAGAAGCTCCTTTAAGTGAAGAGGATGAAGAGGAGGAGCCTCTTCTTGATGCACGGGCACACAGAGCTGCCAAAAGGCAGGAGTGGCTCCTCAGGAGGAGGTCTCCTCGAGAGTAAGGTTTGGGGCTGATTGGCCACTCCCTTAGCCTATTTAAGGAGGAACGCCGCTTGCAGCAAACTGTAGGGAACAACTTTAGTTCAATCTCCTTCACATCTAGATTCTATGCAAAATTGTTTCTGGGCTTTCTGCCAACTCTATTAAGACTGTGATTAACTTATCTTAGAATTCTGGTAGGCTGTTAAGACAGTTTATTAACAGCCTTTGGTTGATAAAGACTAAGTGATTTGAGTAAAATAAGCTTTGTATAGAGTTTGTGTGTGCTGAGTTCTTTGGGGTCCATAGCTGGGGCAGAACTCCCTGGCTGGCCCCAGAGTGGGGTGGGAATGGGGATTTTGCAATATCCTTCACCTGGAGTTGGATGGGAATGGAGATTTTGCAATATCCTTCCTCTGAAGTGGGGTGGGAATGGAGATTTTGCAGTATCCTTCCCCCAGGAGTGAGGAGGGAATGGGGATTTTGCAGTATCCTTCCCCTGCCATGCCCACCAAGCCACACTACACCCACTAAGCCACGCCCACAGAACCGGTAGTAAAAAAAAATGGATTTCACCTCTGATGTGATTCGTTTAACAACTGTCATAAAAATGGTCAAAAAGGTTAGGTCTGGTCATGTGGTGCTTCGACTTATGACCGCAGTGATTCATAAATAGAATTCTGGACCCAAATCTGGTTATAAATTGAAGGCTACCTGTAGTGCCAATAGCTTACCTGAGCTGCTCTCTTACCTTTGGCTTAGAGAGAGAATGCTTTCAAAAAGAAGGATGATGGAGTTTGCTCTTCCCCACAGAGCTCAGCTTGTCCTCAAAGATTAAATGCTCTGCAAGATGTACCAAACATGAATTGTTACTGAGTCATCCACCTTGTGGAAAGAAACACCCAACTTCACTGTGATTTATTCTGTCAGCTTTACTTAACCTGTTTTTTCCCCCTGGTCCTCTTCCTCCATTATCATCACCTTTATTTCCATGAAAGCAACAATTTGATAGAGATAGGGGAAAAGAAAAAAAAGGAAGAAAGACGCCATAAAACAGATTTAGAAAAATGGGAGTGGATGAGCACTCCCTATTCCCAAGAAAATGTTGAAGCATTTTCCTTTCCCTTGAAGAAAACATCTCTCTATATAAAAAAAAAGTTTCAGAGAGTTGTTGCATGAGTTCTGTGCATGATATATATTACCATTTATTTGTTATGGTTATTCTCAGCTGCTTTCTGTTGCATTTCACCAAGATATCAGTCACATTTGAACACCGTGCAAGATGTAAGATGTTGATGAAATAAACAAGGAGCAACATTCTTGTCACTTAAGTTGTCACTGCCGTTTAACATAGGGAGAAGAATGCTATTCACTTCCACCAATCCAAGATCACGAAAACATTATTTGGGAATGGGGCTCTACAAGCTACAGATCTACCACTTTGCCAATCCCGATTCGTTCTTTGCTTCGGTTCAATCATGGTCTTCCATTTGAGGAAGAGGTAAGTCTGGTCATTGCTTGACTCAATGGATGGATGGATGGATGGATGGATAGATAGATAGATAGATAGATAGATAGATAGATAGATAGATAGATAGATGATGGATAGATTAGATAGATAATGGATTTTTGTCATTTTTTTTTTGTCATTTTATTAAATTTGTATACCGCCCTACTCCCGAAGGACTCAGGGCGGTGAACAGCCATGAAATAAAACATATAAATACAAAATTTAAAATAGAGATAAAACAAATTAAATAAATTTGGCTGAACCATATTTAAAACCCCAATAATTTAAAACCAAATTTAAAATTCCCATTTAAAAGAGGAGAAGTTTAGGTCAGGCTGGCTTGCTGGAATAGGAACGTCTTAAGCGTGCGACGGAAGGTACGCAGATCCGGAATCCTCCGTATCTCGGGGGGGAGCTCGTTCCAGATAGTAGGTGCCCCCACAGAGAAGGCTCTCCCCCTGGGGGCCGCCAGTCGACGATAGATTTATTTATTTATTTTATTAAATTTTTATACCGCCCTTCTCCTACTGGACTCATGGCGGTGAATAGCCAAGAATAAAAACATCACATACAAAATTTAATTTTTTTAAAAAAGAATTAGACAAATTTTGGCCCAATTAAATTTAAAACAACCCAACTAAAATCAGTTTACAATTAAAAATATCTAAAAATATCTAGATGATGGATGGATGGATGGATGGATAGATAGATGATGGATAGATGGATGGATGGGTAGGTTGGTAGGTAGGTAGGTAGGTAGGTAGAAAAGAAAGAGAAGATAGATAGATAGATAGATAGATAGATAGATAGATAGATGGATGGATGGATGGATGGATGGATGGATGGATGGATGGATGGATGGATGGATGGATGCATGGATGGATGGATGGTTAGGTAGGTAGGTAGGTAGGAAGAAAAAGAAAGAAAGAAAGAAAAAGAAAAGAAAGAAAGAAAGAAAAAAGAAAGAAAGAAAGAAAGAAAGGAAGGAAGGAAGGAAGGAAGGAAGGAAGGAAGGAAGGAAGGAAGGAAGGTAGATAGATGATGGATAGATGATGGATGGATGGATGGATGGATGGATGGATGGATGGATGGATGGATAGATAGATATTCTATTATTAGTTAGAGCCATGCCTAGCTAGATGAAAGCTCTGTCCCAAATTGTTGCTTATTGAAAATATTGATCAGTCCTCAGTTTGACCAGCTGATGGGAAGCACTGATTACACAATGCTAATAGGTCTTTAGCCCTAACATCTCCTTTGCTAAAAGAAGCAGAAGTCATATTTAGTAAAAATGGCAGTTTGAAGCCAAATCAATGGCTCATATTCCCTTTGGCCTCAGACAGAAACATTTTAAAACAGAATGAGAGAAACACACATGATAATTGATGGCGGTGACTTGAAAATGTAGCTCTTTATCTAACATTCACCCACAGTTAAAGAAATGAATTCTTCTGTGCTTGAAGGACGCTCCTCGTTGTAATGAAAATGGTTCAGGAAGTCCCAAATACTCTGTGACCATGTTATGGATAAGCTTTATTGGTTTTAAATCCCATTCTGTAATGAGATCATTTTATCCATCACTGCCCTCTACCACGGAAAATGCTCTTTGTGACCAAAATAAAAGCACCAAGGCCATTCTAATTTGGGTGACAGCTGTCCCAAATTTAACTGTAACTATAACTATGACTCAATGCCCCCAAATTAAACTATAGTGGTGACATTCAGAGGAAACCGAAATGGCACTTGGGTCACTGATTAGAATTCTTGCTTGAGGTGTTTCTCCAAGGGCAAGATTGGATAGATCTCATCAAAGCAAGAAGGAGGAAAATATGGATGTCAGACCTGGAAGCCATCTTTTACATTGGGGCCTTCAGGCCTGCTGTGGGAAATTGGGAGGGGGGATTGTATGGGGCATGATGATACGTAGTCATAATAACATTCCTTTCTCAGAGAGTCAAGGCCGTCTTGCTCTGCACCTGGTAGGCTGGACCTGGGAGGCATCTCTAGTTGGGACAGTGCTTGGATTGGATTATGTGATGGACTTGTGGGTGTTGGGCAGGGACTTGAACTTTTCTTTGGGTGGGGAAAACCTGGAATCTATGGATGCAGAAGAGAGCCATAAGTCTTCCTCACCTTTACAATCCAAAACAGAACAGAACAGAACAGAACAGAACTGGATGCGACCTTGGGGGTCTTCTAGTCCAACCCTTTGCTCAGGCAGGAAGCCCTATACCAGAAGTTGTGAATGCTCCAGCACTGGAAGTTTTTAAGAAGTTATTGGAGAACCATTTGTCTGAAATGGTATAGGGTTTCCTGCCTGAGCAAGGGGGTTGGACTAGATGACCTCCAAGGTCCCTTCCAATTCTGTTATTCTGTTCTGTTATTCACAACTTCTAGAGGCATGTTGTTCTGCTGATTAAATGTTCTAAATGTCAGCAAGTTTCCCTTTAATTCTAGGTTGCTTCTCTCCTTGATTAGTTTCCATTGCTTCTTGTGCTACTTCCAGCAGTGTGGTGCGGTGGCCTAAGAGGTGGAGCTCTCGCCTCACAACCAGGAGGCTGTGGGTTCGATCCTAGGTAGAGGCAGATATTTCTCTCTCTTGGCACAATGAGAAGATATCTGTCGAACAAAGCTCTGCATTGGCGACAGGAAAGGCATCTGGCCATTAAACGCTCTGCTAGCTCCATTCAGTTGCCCAGAGTCCCCCGCCTCCCGCAAGGGATTATGGGGTCGTTAAATGGTATTGATGACTTGTGCTACCTTCAGGTGCTTTGGATAATAGGCTGACCCCCTCTTCTTTATGGCAACCCCTTAACCCAGGGAGAGTCTCTTCTGACATGTTTACCATACCCCTCCCCCTCCTTTTTGTGAGCTCAGCTGTCTCTTATCTGACTATTGCCTGGTCTGTGGCTCTTTCTCCTGTTTCCCAAAGCCATTCCCACATACCATTACAAAATGCTTGTAGATATTGGCAGATCGATGTTCTTCTATATGCTATTTACGCAGTATGCCAACGCACCTATATATACTCACCTGGAGAGTGCTACAAAAGAGGAATCGGTGTGCCTCTGTGTGTGTGTATTAGGTTCTCTTTTCTATTTATTCTATCAGTCTCCATCCATTTTATTTGATAACATCTTTTATTATTAGGCTTATTCTTCGGGCCTGACGGGGGAAAAAAAACATGTCTTTGAAGATTTTGAACTTCCACTCAATACTTCTAATCCAATTTCTTACAGTTCTGTGCTGCTCTTGAAGATGTTTTCTTATTGCTGAAATGGTATAATATTTTCCCTGCTTTATAGCAAGCTGAACTGCGAATGAATTGAAAATGTGTCCATAATGACACTCTGCTGATCCCAGACCTACCTAGGCCTTGAACAAAATGCAAGCTTTCACTCAAGATTATAATGTACTCGCAAAAACCACTTAAGATTTCAAATAAGGCTTTTTATGATATTATGTACCATAAAGATTGTTCTGTTCCTCTTTGTGCCTTTGTGTTTGTTTCTATTTTAGCTGACCTTATGTTCAATTTGCCCTAATATATGTACTTGTGTGCACATATATATAATTGTGTAGATAGATGCTAGATTAGATGATAGGTAGGTACGTAGATAGGTAGATAGATTAGGTAGGTAGATTAGGTAGGTAGGTAGGTAGGTAGATAGATAGATAGATAGATAGATAGATAGATAGATAGATAGACAGACAGACAGACAGACAGACAGACAGACAGACAGACAGACAGACAGA